AGTCAGCAGCTCAGTGCTTAACTGTCGCGCCACCAGGGCTCCTCGCTGTGGGGAAGAGCCCCCACACGCTGGCAGGTTCCCAGGATGGGACCCCGTGGGGCTGTCCCACGCTGTGCCCACCGGGGCAGGCTGGCGTCTCTGTTGCCTTAGCACTGCCATCATCGGGAGCAGAGTCACAGGCGCACCACAGCCTGACTGTGCCCTGGGACCAAGTGTCCCTGGACCAGGAGCTGAGCTGGCATGAGGCACAGCCCCCTCTGTGACCCGGGAGGTGCCAGGAGAACTTTCCGGTCCCCCCAGACGTGGTCTCCTGTTCCCAAGCACACCTGTCCTGGCTCTCTCGGGCACAGACTGTGGAACCTGCCGGGAATCATTGGTCCCCACAGACTCCTTGTCCTCCTCGTCACCCCAGAGCCCTCAGATGGGGGGAGGGGATGGGGATGCATCTGCACCCTCCTGGACCTGCACGCGGCCAAGGGGGAGGTGCTGCTCTCTGCTCCCAGCTGCCCACTGACCTCTCGTCCCTCCGTTAGCAGGACCTGAGCAGCCCCAGCCAGTACGACACTGGAGTTGCGCTGACTGATCTATCCCGTGCTCCCCCGGCTGACTGCGTCCCAGCCCGGCCCCTGAGCCTGCGCTGCCCTGGGAGCAGGTCTGAGCGGCCCTCAGCGTGCAACACAGGGTGAAGGGGCATCAGCACTGAACTTGGGCCCCGGCTGGCGGCCTCGGGCGGGCTGCTGGTCCCCCAAGACTCGGTGTCCTCTGAGGGGTCACGGTAGGCGCGACGGTAATGTGCGCCTGGAGCCTCATGGCTGGCCAGTGCTGGAGTGAGACCGGCCCCTGCCCTGCAGCCTGGACCTGGACGCCTGGATCAACGAGCTGCCCTCCGACAGCGAGTCCGAGGACGAGGCGCCCAAGGCCATCTTCCACGACGATGAGCAGAAGCCCACGCGGCACCGGCAGCCTGAGGCCAACGCAGAGGAGCTGGCCCGGGTGAGCGTCGTAGGCGGGTGCTTCTTCTGAAGCGCGTCTCGCATCCTCTGCCGGGTTCAGGAGGGGCGGTCAGGTCTGAGGCCCTGTGTTGTAGCCTGGGCTACAGAAACGAGCCTTGTGGCCGTGGACGCAGCCATCGGGGGCTCTGTCCGTGGGGGTTTGTCCTCCGGGGAGTGCTCAGCAGGCGTTTGGTGTTTGGGCTGGGGTTGAAGCGTGGGATCGAGCTGGGTTTCTGTACAGTCTCTGTTGAGATGTGGAGTGGGCGCCTTGAGATCCAGTAGCTTCCCTAGAGGGGTGCCCTGAGGTTGGCCCTGGGTTCGCCCTGCCTGCACGCTGCCGACTTTACAAAAACGTGCTTTGTTCAAACTTTCTCAAATGTGTGAAAATCAAAGAAGGGGCCCCCTGCATCCCTCTGCCCAGAGCTGAGAACTTTCTGTCGCCTCACTGGTCTCCCCCGACGGCCCAGCGCCCTCCAGGCTGAGCTTTCGGGCAGTGTGACCTGCGGTCAGCCTGGCTCAGGAGGCGAAGACCTGTCAGGCCCCGGCTCTGTCTTGGGAGCAGAGCAGCCTGGCTGGTCTCCAGCGCCTCTGGCCTGGCTTGGGGCTCTCACAGACTAGCTGCGTGTCCTACACCCGCTGTAGCCTCCTGCCTGGCACGGGCTGAGGAGCTGCGGGGGTGCCTGGGGCAGCACGGGGCCCACCCCTCTGGTCCAGTGCGTCAGGTGAGCGTTCACTGATGGGAACGCCCCCCCGCCGCCCCCGTCCCCCCGCAGCGCCGGGAAGCCCGGAAGCCGGCCAGCCCGTTTTACATCAAGAGCTCACGGAAGAAGCAGAGAAAGGAGAAGCAGCGCGAGGGCCGGCGTCGGCGCTACAGCTCGCTGCACACGGAGAGCGATGAGGACATTGCTCCTGCCCAGCAGGTGGACATGGTCACCGAGGAGTTGCCTGAGGTACCTCCCGTTCTGGGGCCTGGGGTGCGTGAGGTGGGGTGCTGCCCAGGAGCCTGGGGGAACCATGCCTGTGTCTGCGTTCCAGGAGGGGCGGCCGCCCCCGCTCTGCTCTTCACCGTGTCCCCTGGGCCCCGACTCCCCGTGTGGGCCCCAACTTCCCGTGAGGCCCCTATGTGCACTCATGATGTGGTTGAGCCCTGGCGGGTCTGTTCACAGCCAGGATATCTTTCCCTGGTGGGGCCCTGGGACACCCAACCCCGACTGAACATGCCCTCACTGGGTGAGCCTCCTAAAGTGGGGGCAGGGCCTCATGGGCCCTTTAGTGAGATCTTGGCTGTGTTGCTGGTGAACCCTGACACTGGGCCCCCTTCTCCTCCCATCCCCTCAGAATGCTCTGCTCAGTGACGAAAATGACAAAGACCCCAATGACTCCTACAGGGCCTTGGACATTGATGTGGACAAGTAAGTCAGGGGCCAGTGGTAGGCGCTTTGGGGTATGCCTGGGTGAGGACAGAGCTGGGCCTAGGGGCCCCTCAGACAGACACAGAGATAGGCTGCCCTTCACAGTGCCGGGCTGGGCCTGGGGGCCCCTCAGACAGACAGAGACAGGCTGCCCCTCACGGCGCCGGGCTGGGCCTGGGGGCCTCTCAGACAGACAGAGAA